GACGCGCCCGGCGGGAGGGGCCCGGCCGGTGGCCGCTGTGCGCGCCCGGGCAGCTGGTCGGGCGGTAGGAGGGCGGGGTGTGTGGAGCTGCGCGGCCGCCCGGTGCGGGCGAGACGGGCACGGATGTTCGTGTCGTCGTCCCTCGGCGGCCGAGCCTTGGCGCGCCGATGGCCCGACTGTGTTGATGGCGCCCCGGGCCCGCCCTTAGGAAGTCGTGCGCTCAGAGCTTGGATCCAGATAGCGTCTACGACAGAGGTGCCAGCAAGGCCGGCGCACCCTGCGGGCCCGGGTCGCACCCCGCCTGCCTCCCGGGGCCCGCTTGTCCCCGCGCTAGCTCGCAGTCGGCGGTACAGGTCCCCGGTCGCCGAACCGTTGGTGCAGGATCTAGGCTCCCGCCTGCCGCCCCTCTCCTACACACCCTGGGCACGCACGCGGCTGGGGCATTAGAATCGCGCAGGTATCGTCTCGAGGTGGCTCCTTCCTGTATAGCTTTTGTTTTAGGGTTGTTTTTTGTTTCGTTCTCCGCTCTCCTGGACCTCTGTCACAATATTGGCGACTCAAGAATGGTGACCAGCCCTGCAGTTTTCCTCCCCAGCCCGCTGTCCTCTGCTTGGGTCAGTTACTCCTCGAGAAAGTTTTCCTGTCTACTGGTTATTTCACAGTGCCATACATGCTTTAATCATGGTTTTATCATAGCAGCGAGTATCTTTGCCAAGTGCTCTTCGTCCCTTAGGATAGCCTTTTCTCTCGGAGGTGTTTAGGACCATTTGACTTTTTACAGGATGCCCATGTATGTGGAGTACCAGCCCAAGTGTTCTGTGACTCTGTAGACGTGTCATTCAGCTCTGGGAAATGCTCTTGGATCATTTGAGTTTATTGCTCCCTCGTTCTGTTCTCTCTTGTAGCAGCTCCCGTTAGCATGTGGTAGACAGCTTGGCTTGACCTCTCAATCTCTGTCTTTGTTCATTCCGTGCCATTTTTATTCCTGTTTCTGGAAGAAGGCTTCATTTTATCTTCCAATCCTGTTTTAATTTTTGAATTTCCACAATCAAACCTTTACTTTCTAAGAGTATATTTGTCCTGTTTCTTTCTCATAGTAGCTTACTGTTTATGACTGTATAATCTCTGTGCCTCAGTGGAAACTTTTCTTCTCGGTTGTGTTCTGATTTGGTGTTTACTCTATTGTTACCCTTTTGGGGAGGGTAGATATTGGCTTGTTGCATGTGACATGTCCTCTTCCAGTGTTGGTGTATGTATTAGTGATTATCCTTGTCTAGGCAAGAGGAACATGAGGGAGCCATGGGTTTGTGTGGAATGGTTTTGCCCTCTGGTGACTAGGAGCTTCTTACCATAGGACCTGAGACGCCCAGATTTTTCTCTGGGCCTTTCAATTTTTGTAGCCAAGCCTTAGCCAGAGAGCAGCTCCACTTTGTCTCTAGGGGTGACAGGGAGTCAGCTCTTATGTACCTAGCAGGCCCAGTGCGCTTCTGCTTAGGGTGCTGGCTTATAGCTGATCTGCCAGGCTAGGGCCCCGCTACTGTGTGCTCCAAATGACCTTTGCTTTCCTGGGTTGGAACCTCCCAGATCCAGTCAGATATTAGTGAAGCCTCTTGCCTGCATCCTTTTTCTTGTGACTTTAATTATGAAACCTCACTTTAGTGGGAGAAGTAGAGGTCACCTGTGCAGTTGATCACTCACTTTGATTAGAAATCCTAAGGCCTGTTTGCCTCTTCATGGCCTTGGTGCTGTTGCACTCCCACCCCACCTCAGGACAGGTTTTGAGGTCACTGACCCACATCTGCCTGTCACCTGGAGTTTTCTGGATGGTTCTGCCGTGCGGCCTGGAGCAGCTAGTCAGACATGTGTGGCACCAGTGTGACTGGTGTGCTAAGCTAGTGGTTCACTGCATGGTTTCAGGAGTACTACAGGTAGGGTCTCTACATAGTCTTGACATAGTCCAGTGGCTTGTTGTACTGGCAAGTTGTACGTGATAAAGTTAGCCACATTTGCCAGTCTTGCTGCCAGGTGGCCCAAGGCCAACAGTGTGGGTCAGCATCACTTGGGAGTTGGAGAACAGTGGCACACGCTTTCAGGTTCACTTAGATTTATAGAAGCAAAGGCTGCATCATGGTAAACTTTCATCAATTAAATGTAGTCTTTTCAGAAAAGTTGCAAAAATATTTTAGTGCATTTCCCCAGTTTTTTCACCAACTTCCCATAATGTTGACATTTATGTAATGAAGTATCTATAGAATCTGAAACTTAATGCTGGCATAGTGCTACTAAGTGTATTATAGACCCCATTCAAACTATAGTTTTCCGTTAACACCCTTTTTTTGTTTCAGGACAACTCAGGATCTCGTACTACATTTAGTTTTTATTTTTCCTTCTACCTATGATATTTACATAATTCTAGAATATCTCCTTCAGGTGGGCATGGTGGCACACACTTGTCGTCCCAGCACTTGGGGAGGCTGAGGTAGGAGGATCACTGGGAATTCAAAGCCAGCCTGGAATATATAGAGTTCAGTGCCAGCTTCAACTACATAGGGAGACCCTGTCTCAAAAAGAAAAGAAAAGAAAAACAAAAACAAAAACAAAAAAACACCACAACCACCAGCAATCACACAAATATCTCCCTCAGCAAATTTGTAAGTTGTAAAGGGTAGAATAAAATAGTGACTTCCCAGTGGAATAACTCAGCAGGTACCACTTGAAGTACATGAGCAAGGGTAACACCATTAGTAATGAGAGATGGATGTCAAACGCTCTGTGAGACATAGGACATGTTACTTCTCTGGTGGTGCCAGAAATGTAGTCTAAATAAAGAGGAGATGTTAGAGCTGGGGAGAGAGCTCAGCCGTCTAAGTGCCTGCTTGGTAAGTGCAAGGACCTGGGCTCGATTGTCTGGTACTATGTGCTGTGCTGGCCCTGGAATCCTGGGTGCACCAAAACCGTGTGTGCCTGTAATCCCAGCACTGGGGAAGCTGAGATAGGAGAATCACTGTAAGTCTGAGTTGCATATGGAGACCCTGTACCAAATAAAGAAATGATTTTTAAAAATTAAAAAAAGATGTTAGACCCAGAGGGGCAGTTACCAGTGCCCTTACCAGCACCCTTCAGAAATGCCCAGGTCTCAAAGACAGGGAAACTCAGAACTTTAAGGCAGCAGGAGGGCCAGCTGACATGTGGCCTGGCGCTAAAGGGCCCACAAGTCCTGTTATGTAGCTTGGTGAGCGGGAGCTTGGGAGAAATGGGGGTACAAGGCACATATTCTGGATGCTTTTGTAGTAATGGTTTGATTGACTCCTTTTGACATAGCTCATTTTTTTCCCTCATAACTGTCTCTACAAGCCCATTACACTTAAATTATGCAATTAAGTAAATTGTGTGACAAGACATGGCTGTCCAAGTAAATTACCACTTCAGCAATCTAAATCTTCAGAACAAAGGAAAAGGCTTCTGGGAGTAGGTAATATACTGAGGGTCCCAGTGAGAATGTTCTTGGTGAAGATTTTCATTTCCTCTTACTTCTAGGATGGTCATAAAAGCCTATGTGATCTGCCTTGTTGAACTATTCAGGCATGTTCCTTTAGAAATGGGGAAGAGTTCAGGGCATCTTGACAGTAAATTCCAGAGGAATTGTGTTGCAGGCTGTGCTTGCTTTGTCCCTAGTACCTGGCAACTCACCTAGGCCTCCAGGAGGGTGCACCAGGAGCCACTGCTCTGAAGTGAAACAGCATCATACTGTCCCCCTGAGCCACATGCCCAATGTGGAGAGATGTGCTGAGCTGTGTGAACAGAATGAGTCTTCGAGTGGAGTCTGGAACCAGACCTCTGTCTTAGTGGAGGAGCCAGTGGCCATTGTCTCCAAGGCTTAGAGCCTAAGGATGCCCTTGTTAAAAATGTGGAAACATGGACTGCTTAAGCTGTGAGGTCATGACTCAAAATGTGAAGTCACAGGAAATGGATTCCTGTTTTGAATAAACTTCTCTTTGTCTTTTGCATCTACACTGTCAATACTTCTATAGTTTGATTAAACATGTATTGGATCATCCTTGTCATGATGGACTGGAGGATGGATTGGTTACCTATGGGGAGCCTTAAGGTGGGGAAAGGGAAAGATGGAGTACCCCAGAAGAAACCTGCAAGGTGGATTGTACAGTGCATAAGCTGGGCAAGAAGAAAATCTGGTAAGAAATGCCAGAGAAGGTAAAAAGATAAGCACAGGAAAAGGTGACTGAATGGGGTATGTATGTGGACATTGGTTGCCATCCCCTTTTAGATGCTCTTTGTCAACACTGTCAGGTTGTCCATAAGAATGAACAGGGGTGGAAAACATTTTTAGCCATCAGATCGGGCCTTGGGGCAGCCCTGGGTGGAGCTCCTCACTGACAAGACTTGTAATAAAGATTTATTTTCTGTGTTGCAAAGAATGCAGCTGTGGCCTCTAGTTATTTTTCCCTAAGGTGGAAAGTAGTCAGATAACTTGAAACAAATTTAGCCATTTTGGAAACAATAGGCTTGGGTAAAAAGTCATGCGGAATCATGGTCTGGGTATGCCCTGGGCATCTCCTTGTGTCTTAACCTTGCCAGGAGACCCAGGGAAGGTCTATGCCATGGCACATTCCTCACCCTGCAGTACAGCCTATGAGTTACTGGGCCATGTGGGGCTGCGATGGGGATAGCTGTGGCCTACATACAGTCCATCCTCTGAGCTTGGTCATTCATTGGTGGGCGTAGGGCTGGGCCTTGGGAATGGAGTGTGCCTGCCACCAGCCTGTGTTTTGCAACCTAGGATGCTGCCCTGAAGATCTAAGTAGCATCCTGTGTGGAGTTTGCAGAGGGGCTCGGTGTCCTAGCCCTGCACACAGCAGACACTTGACAGTTATGCACACAATGGTGCCTTTTCAGCCAGCATGGCCTTCATGTACAGTGGTGGTCCCCTAAGGCGGTGTCACCTTAGAGCTCCCAGAACCTCTACTTTTAAATTGGCCTTCCAATTTTCTTCTTTGCTATGTAGTTTAGGCTGGCCTTGAACTTGTACCAGTCCTCCTGTCTCAGTTTCCTAAGTGCTGGGATTACAGGCCCATGCCACGATACCCAGCTGGCCTTCCAGTTCTAAAATGAAGCATTTCATGGATTTTAAAAATTTATAGGATTCAGATAATTTCCTGGTTTTGAAAAGTGAGGGTTTAGTATTTGTATTTTTTTGTTTTTGTTTTTGTTTTTGAGAGACAGGGTCTGGCTATGTAGTTCAGGCTGGCGTTGAGCTCACTTTGTAGCCCAGGCTGGTCTCGAATTAGAAAGGATCCTCCTTAGCCTCCCGAGTGTTGGGATTGTAGGCATGTGTCACCATGCCTGGCTGTAATACAATATTTAACACATTCCTGCTGGCTGGAACTTCTGGTAGTACATACATGACTGTCCCATTGGTGACTTTGTACCACCTAAAATGAAGATTTGTTTAAAATACAGTCCTTGTATGTGAGGAGGAGTCCTGCCTGCAGGAGTAAAAGAAGATGAAAGCAAATGAGGGCCAGAGATATAGCTCAGGCATAAGTGCCTGCCTGGCAAGCATAAGGATCTCAGTTCTATCCCTGGTACCACTAAATAAATAAATAGATGAAAGCAAATGAACACCGTGGACACTGCCTGGGGCTCTTGCCAGTTCTGCCTACTGCTCAGTGAGTTCTGGAAGCCTGTGCCATCCGCATTTTCTACCCATCTGCCATCCACCCTCCTCCCACCTTGCATGGCTGACTGGCCCGAGGGAGGGTGCACAGGTGCGGGCACTGGCATGACCTGCAGGTCAGGGTGAGCACCGCCGTCATCGTGCCTGGGCTTTTCTTTCTTTCTAAAATTTTATCCCATGTTATTTTTTATAGCATTCTTTTATATTTTTAAAAGAGGATACAAAATAGTAATAAAAATTAGAAATGTTCCACAATTTCACTAAACAATAATACGAATTCAGCCGTATTTGTTGTATTGCATAGCGTTGTCTTTAGTTTTTCAGTTCACCAGACACATGCTTGGTCTCAGGCAGTTTCAGGACTCCAAAGGTCCCGGTGTCACTAAATCACGGGAGCCTTATAGCTGGAGCAGAGCTTCCTGTGGAAGCCTGATAAGACACACAAGGCTTTAAGGTCTCTGCCTAACTGTCCAGCTTGGTTTTCATGATAAACCCTGCTGATGTCTGCCACAGCCAGGAGCTGGGCCCATTCTGGGGGCTATGAGCATGAGGTCCTGGGCAGACAGGCTTGCAGTGAGGTCCAGGCTCCACACGGGCCTTCGGGGTCCCGTTCCAGGGGCTCTGCTGTCCTTATTACAGGTACTGCAAGCATCCAGGCTCTTACCTTTGGACCTCTAGGGAGTTGGGGAGATCTGGAGGGATCACCAAACCATCTCCTTCCTCTAATGAAAGCATGGAGTATAGAGTGTATTTATTTATTTAGTTTTGTTACTTTATTTTGCGAAAATGTCCTTGGCAGTATCAGTGGCAGCCTTTCAGGAGTATGACTAGCATTAATTAAACCACCTTAAATGTATCCTTTTTTTACCTCTGCTTTTGGAGAAAAGCCCCAAGATCTTTTAATAGGAGTTGGGTTATGTGTTTGCTTTAATGTCAGGCTTGGAAGTTGAAGGAAAAATGCAACAAACTGTGGTATAGTCTTCTGCATTCTCAAATGTGAATATATTTTCTTTATTTACTGAACAATTTAAGACATGAGTCCCTTCACTCTTAAGTACCAAAGTAGCTATTTTCTAAAACAAAGGTCATTTTCTTATATATAATTACAATATAGTTATTAAGCTAATTTACCTTTTTGTGTGTGTGTGAAGATGCTATCCACACAGGCCTCAATCTCGAACTCATTACTTGTGCTCATCCTCCCCAGGGCCAGGACTGTGAGTGCGCATTATCATGACTGGCAGCAGTTGAATATTTTTGTATATGTGTTATCTAAATAATAGTCTTATTTGCATTTTATTGTTTACCTCAATAATGCCTTTATTGCAAAAGAAAAAATTCCTTATATAAAATTTGGTAGATTCTAAATTCCCCCAGGAGCGTTTGTTGTGTCACACATAATCGTTAACTAGGTACCATTTTTTTTTACACATTAGTTAACTTGACTTTCTGTAGGGTTATTTTTGACAGAAGCCACTATATCCATTTCCTTCCACCATTGTGTTAGAGAAGACTGGAAAAGATGGGTGGGTGAGGTTGCGAGGTGGAAATCTGCACAGGCTGTCTGCTCTGTGGTGGGTGACCCAGCTGAGGTGTAAGTCAGAGTGAGGTTGACATGAAGGTGTCATCTGCTAGTCCAGAAGAAAGGTCATGTTCTGGCAGACATGTTCTTGTTGGGTTTGTAAAGATTTTTCCCTAGGGAGTCTGTACTGTTCAGGGGTGGGCCAAGTTGTTTATGAAAGTAGTCACTAAATATTTTGAGTTACAGAGTTAAAATTTATACACCCTGAAATTCAGCTGAAGAAAAGTTCCTGGAAGGCAGATAAATTAATGCATAAGTTGTACGTGTAGTCAGAATGTAGCAACATTTTCTTTAGATTTAAAAATAATTTTTTTGGGCTGGCCTGATAGCTTAGTGGACTAAAGGTGCCTGCTTAGGCATAGCGCAGCGGCCGGGGTTCCATCCCCAGCATGCCAGGCTGGCCCCACCAGCGGGGCACACTGTGCCTGTGGGGGAGACGAGGCGTGGTGGCACATTCCTGTAATCCCAGCACTTGGGAGGCTCAAAAGAGAAGGACTGCTACGAGTCCTATCTACATAGGGAGAGCCTGTAGACCGGGTCCTAAATACAGAAAAATATAATTTTTTTTTTTTTTTTTGTATTTTAGGGCAGGGTCTACAGAGTGTTCAGGGTCTCACTACTAGATCAGACTCATAGTGATCTGCCTGTTTACAGCCTCCCAAGAGCTGGGATTACAGGCACACACATGCCGCCATGCCCAGTCTCAGTTGCCGTCACAGTGTGCCTTGGGGGTGGGGCCTGCTGGCCCAGAGATCCAACCCTGGCCCCTGAGCCTGCTTGCAGGCTCTTTAATACACTAAGCTATTTGGCCAGCCCAATAATTTTTTTTTTTTTTTAAATGCATTTGGTTGATACAGGGTCTCACTATGCAGCTCGGACTCAGAGTGATACTCCTGTTTTCAACCTCCCCAGCACCGGGATTACAGGCATATGCCACTATGCCCACATCTGGACTCTGGCCAGCACAGCTTACCCTAGGGACCAGGCTGGCATAGCATGTGTTGCTGGGGATAGAACCGCAGTCCCTGAGCTTGCCTAAGCAGGCACTTTGGTCCACTGGGCTATCTCATCAACCCGTGAAGAACTTTTACTTGGTAACTATCTGAAAGTGTAGCAGTTGGCCAGTGGCTCCCTGAATTTGTTTGCCTCCATCTCTGTCACCTGTCAATCTTTGTTTTTTAAATAGTGTTCATCAGGATTAGGGTACCACTAACACTCTGGCACCTGCTGGTTATTCTTTGTGGTCTGAGGAGAGTGAACTTCCTGTTGGAAGACTAGCTGGTCCTCTGCTTCATGGAGGGATTTCTTCTTGCACATTGTGCTGTGCATTGGTGTATTATTTTGCAACAATAGTTCATTGAGAATTAGAAATTCTTTTAAATGATTTTGGATAATTTATAGTGTTCAGTTTGAATTTTTAAAATTTATTTATTTGGTACAGGATCTCACTATGCAGCTTGGACTTGTAGTGACCCTCCTGTCTCAGCCTCCCCAGCACTGGGACTACAGGCAACCATGCCTGGTTTCAGTGGCTGGCACAGTATGCCAGGAGTTCCAGGGCTGGCATGGCATGCCATTCTGTTTATCAAACCCAGGAAGGCATGCTTGCCAGGAAGGCACTTAGACTGCCAAGCTATCTCCCCAGCCTCAGTATGAATTTTTTATAGTCTTTTTGTAATACTGGGGGTTGAACTCAGTGATTCTCTACCACTGAGCTATATTTTCAGTACTTTTTAACTTTTT